CGGCTTTGGAAATGGGAGCATCACATGATCTATGTGACGCACTAGTTCAAGTCTCAACCACTGGGCTTCTCGGTAGCAGTCGCTTGCCCGCTGGGCAAGTCACTAATGTTCTTTAATTCGCACTAGTCAAGGTGTGCATGGTAGTTGTCTTGACGACGGTGGTAGCAGCTTCAGGAAAGAAGTGTAGTGTGCTACAAAGCGTTGGCAACGTAATTTGGACTCGAAAATAAGTATACTTGATATCCTTATGATGTTTTGACGGTGCTACAGTGGCACTATCCAGTGCCAGTATTAACCGTATCCATTCCTGAGGTATGACTTGAGTCTTTATCCTCAAAGATGAGACACCCCCTTCAAAAAGCGATGTGTGCAACTTTGAATCAAGCTATCATAGCATCCCTAACTCGTGTTAAAATGAACCTTGCAGGCACTTACGTGTGACGCTGAGTTAAATTTTCAAAATACCTAAGCATACTGAACTAAACAGAGTGAGGCTAAGCAGCAGTTGAAAAATACTATGTTTAATCTGGTATGTAAGGCTTTAGGATAGCCAGTGCACTGAGACCAGAGTTGGATCACGAACGGTCAAGGACAAAGCCTTTGGAAGTCGATTCCTCCTATGCGTCATTCGTAGGTTAATGTTGCGCATTCTCAAAAGAAAGAGCCCATTACCACCTTCTCTCCAACCCCACAAATTTATGACGCCATGAATAGTCGTAGGAAAGGAGGCCTGAGATACTAGTGAACTTTTCCATTCAGTGCTACATGTGGAACACGTTGTCAATGTCATGGTATTTGACACATGAATGGTGGAAAATGCACAGTTTTCAAACGTTGAAGGGAACGTTTCACAAGTTATCAAAGCAGGCACAGGTATGACGGAAGAAGCCCACTTATTAATATTGGCATATTTTGAACTTGAAAAGACTGCTCCAGAGAACACAATTCCTCTGCTTAGTAAATATACCCCTCAATGCTCCATTGTTTGATTACGTCATCGCAACTTGCACAAGTGCATCGATTGAGAGCCAAATGACGGTCTTAGTATCTGGAAATCGTGCTCACGAACGTCAGATATGAACGAATCACCGCTAGATCTTTTTATCAGCCTTGATCGCCGCATGGCTTATGGAATGGCAGGAACTGAATGATGGTATTTAAAACCCATGATGCCAAAGTGACCTTGAAGTACTTTCCATTTTCGCGTATGTGGCTCGGAAACTAGAGAGATTTTGGCCTTAAGAAGGGCAGGGTTGTGAGCTGCACTAAGAGGTCTACAAGATGGCTATTTGAGTTCAAAACCTCAAAGAAATGTTGAACATCCCTTTAATTGCCGTTTTTTCCAAAACACAAGCCTCTAGACAGGAGCCAGGTCATCAGCGCTTCTTCCCGTAAGCCGCGGATTAGAGGAGCCCCTCTCCAACTTCGGGAAAAACTGAGCATTAACCCGAGTTCATACATGACAACCTTCCCCGCGAAGGAATGAATGACGATTCGAAATGGCATTACCTTCAATATATATATCACAATAATACAAATCACAATAATACAAGCACCGAATTTCAAAATAGCAGACTCAAATTGCACAAAACAACCTAGAAAGCTCCACTGCTATCGAAAGGGAAGTTTTAAAAGACCATGGAGGTGTACTCCCCGTGACGTCATTTGGCTGAATCGTGCAAACACGTACAGGCAATGAGATGCCAACGGCCCGGCCTGGCTCCAGATATTCAAAAGGGTAGCGCTTATTTGCCTGCACAGGACTTGCACCACGTTGTACCTACAGATTTGAGCTTTACCTGCTGGATGACCCTCTTTTATTACGTTTGATGTTCATATGACTGCTTATGCGGTTGTGGGTTTTCCCTTATAACCTGTTACGTGTTCATATCCAAGTGAACACCAAACGGGGGCCGGAATCGAATATCTTAGAGGTGATGTCAGGGCCGGCGTCATTTTAACACAATATTTGACATGTTTCCCATGGAAATTAAAAATGCAGAAAAACAGCTAAGTGTAAGTCAGTGACTTATGTAGTAGCTTCTGGACGTCGCTGAAAGAAAAACTGCATCGTGCATCTGCAAGCAGGTGTCTAGCGCTAGCCCTCACAGTGACCCCATAACTGCTATGCGGAATCAGCAATGTGAGGACCACGTTTGTACCGACATGTGCTGAGGTGGGTGTGGTCTTGCGGGATCCGTAACGTGTTACACACCTGGTCAAGCTGCTGGCAGGTACACTCTAGCCCATGCGCTTCACGCCCCAATGTTTGGAATTGCGATGTCGGATGTCAGATTACTGTTACGCACCGACAAGTTAAAGAGAAATCGTTTTGCTGCTGGAAATTTTGGTAAACGCAAAGACCTTCATTTTGTTTCAGGTTTGAGAGAGCTGGCTGATTCGCATGGCTGAAAGCATTCCACCGCGTTTCAGGCAACCCGAAAACAGCCTACAAAAACTTTGTATTGCATGACCAGCGTGTACACGTTTCGGCTGTTTCCGGACTATCACCTGCCGCGGGTTCCGGTGTGAGCAGCTGCGCACTGTGCTTGGCACACATACCTCATCCAAATACCCGCGACCTAGGAAACGCGGCCATTCGTAGCGTTTGCATGCCATTCGGTCGTCCATTGTCACCTCCCAGTGGTCATTAATGGCGCCCATGGAATTCGCCCCGCAAACTTCCCGGGCACACCACAACCTGGACAAAGCCATTGAGCTAAATGGGCCGATTCGGGGCAAATAGCCACACAGAAGCTGACGCCGATGGCCAATTATGGGTCATGCAGACCCCATATCTCACGGTTGGCCTGCCTGGCGCAGAGGTCCACGGCTGATGGCGCTGCACGCGGTCCTAGGTCAGCGACGGCTCACGGGTCACGGCTCGCGTCTCTGCACCCCGCCACATCCCACTGACAGGCCACGCGCCACGCTGGAATCTGTGCATGTACTGTCACACCGTACATGCCGTACATGTCCTGTGCATGTACTGTACATGTACTGTACTGCACATGTACTGGGTATGTACATGTACTGTGTATGTGCATGTATTGTACATGTACTGTGTATGTGCATGTATTGTACATGTACTGTACTGTACATGTACTGTGCATGTACATGCACTGGACATGTCGTGCATGCGCTTTGCGTGCACGAGGGGCTGCGCACCGCTGACACTGTGAACGGCGACGCCGCCACTGAAATCCTGACGACACCAGGGTCGTTGGTGACAATGTCGCACGCGCCCTATTCTGAATCCCAACGGAGTACAGTTAGGTAAAGAGCTGAAACCATCCGTTGTACAATAATATTTCCTCTTGTTTGCCGCCTGTGCCTACATACCTCTATGAACGTGATACACCAGAGTTATTGCTTAAAAACACAAACTTTTCAATGAGAAAAAACGTTATCCAGCCGCGATGTACCTCACTTTCCTTGCCCACCTCGAACATACAATTGTAAGCATTCACTGGCGTGGGGCGGAGTATTGGTGTCGATCTTGCTCCTTACATTCAACGTGCTGAACTTCGATTAATGCAACTTTGTATGTCTGTTTTATATCTGGCAGGCACGGTGTCCAACAAGAAAAGTTTTTGTATATTCTAGCATTTGCACAGCGCTTTTCACTGCGCTAGTGTCTCAGATGCGCGGCGACATGCTGCACTGCTGCACTGGAGTAAAATAATGATTTTTTTATTCTTACTTTCCGCGGGTTGCGTTGTATATCTGTTTCATGGAAACATGGTCGTGTCCTTGGTCGCCTCCTGAAAACTTCTCTAGCGACCTGAGACGCACCCTATGTTTGCATCGAAATAACCGCGAAAAATGCTACTGAACACGCATAAACACCTCAGTGAAGACCCATATGGAAAGGCGCTCCATTCGTCATTGGCAGTCCCACTTCGGTGACGAAATGAAACCGGAATAGACAGACAAGGGGAGAGGCTCGCTCGCGTGAAGAGAAATTGACGAAAGCAGTGCTGGAACCAGAAGGCCCCCACAGATATCCTGGAGCGTGATTTCCATACTTCGCGATGTTTTCAAGTGACTGCATTTATTTCATACTAAACCAACGATTTACGTGTTCATTTCCGCGAAGTTTAGGCGTTTAGGCGCAAGAGAGCACAAAATACGCGCTGAAACTACTGTCGTTAAAGGGAATGTTGCACATTTGAAGATATTGAACCCAGTGCCAGAAAAGAGGAATAGTCTGCTTTTGACAGCATAGTTCAGTTCAGTAAATGTGTTCCTCATTGCGTTATGGTTTGATTACGTAATCGTACCTTGCACAACATTGATTGAGAGCCAATTAAAGGCTGCTATAGGTATGTAGAAATCGTCCTCATAAACGCCAGATATGAACGCCTTGACAATTACATTTTTCTTGGCCTTGGTCGCTGTACGGCCTATGGAGTGACAGGATTTGAATAACGTTATTATGACGTCGTAAAGGTCAAGTTGGATTTAAAATACTCTCCCCCGAAATACTCCCCCCCCCCCCCATTGTCGCGGGCGTGTGGCTCAGGAACTAGATGGGGTCAGGTCTTAAGAGGGGTAGGGCTGTGGACTGCATCGAAAGGTCTTCAAGATGGATTTTTCAGTTCAAAATCCTATCTAAATATGGAACACTCCCTTTAAAGTACCGTCGGTGACGCGAAAAGCAAGTCATCGCATCTTAATGTCGGGGGCGTACTCGCCGAGTGAAAAATGCCTTTGAGCGCTACTGTCGCTCGACAGTCCATGACGACCCGTCGCATTTCCAAATAGCGTGCAACAACGTGTGTGGCGTTAACAGGGTCGAGTTAGCACATAACAACATTCGCGACCAGGGAATAAATGACGATCCGAAAGAGCATTACTTTCGTTACACCGAAAAGCAGTCCGGTAGGAAGCATATGATGAAAAAAGCGAAGATGGGTCAGATCTGTCCTTTGACTGTTACGTAAATCCGGCGTCATTTGGTTGAAACCGTTTGTTTTTGGGCATGTTGAGAAACTTACCTCCACACATCGTCAGCCCAGCCATGACCACGAACCACGAGACCAGCAGGCAGCTGGTGCTTCCACAGATCGCTTGCATTGCGCTGACGGTGGCCATACAGTCTGCCGCGAAGAGCAGGGCGTCACTTAACCACCGGACATTCTCCCGAGCGGGAGGACAGCAGTGTCCAATCGTCGGCCGCCAGTTCTTCAGGGACGCTGGGCGGACCGGCTCCGACAGGCGCTTCAGTTCGCCCAGTTGTAGTCCCCGACAGCGATCGTCACTAGGTCTTCGGCCAGCCTCCAGCAGGCATCACCGTGCAGCTGCCGTGCAACTTCTGACTGACGCCGTCACTCGGCCATCGCACAGCCTCTCACAGGTGTCGTTCAGCTGCAGGGCCGCACCGACATGGCGTCAGTGACGCGGAGCACTCACTTCGGATGGCGATCTAGCTGCAAAGCAGGAAACAAACGTCACGCCAGACCTCACTACAGACAACGCCAATGAGATACACCAGTATAAATTGAATTTCTGAAAGTTTAATGCAGGTTCATGGAAGCTTCATCTCGCTTTGAATACGAATACTGAAGTTTTGTGGTCAGAATCATGGACACATTTCAGATTAAGCAGGGGGACACGGTTTCATCCGCACACAGAAACCAGAGAATGTGCATCTTCATGTCATGGCTTCGGCAACTTTTCTAACAATTCTGCGAAGGAAGGGACCCAAATAATTCCGTTCAGTTCTTGTTTCGGTGGAAGTACTTGTTCAAGGTTGCTCTGTGCCCAAAATCCCGGTGCGAAAATTTCACATGGGTCCGAGAAACTGCTTCCAGAATTTGTAGCCTTAGGTATTTAAAAGAGGTCGCTAGTCAAGGGCGCGTTTGGAATTTGTACTCCGTTAAAGGAAATTTTCCACCCTTGAAGATATTGAAACAAGCCTCAGACATGATGGAATGAGTTCACTTATAGCTAATGGCATAATTTAAGAGGCAAAGACTGCTCTGGTCGACATAATATTTATGTTAAGTGGTTATGTTCTTCAATAGTCAGTTTAATTGCGTCCTCATGCCTTGCACATTGATCGAGAGCCGATGGGTGCCCGTTATATCTGGAAATAGCGCTCACGAACGCCAGATATGAACAACTCGACAATCACATTTTTATTGACCTTGATCACCGCACGGCCAATGAGATGGCAGGGTTTAAATGAAGTTATTATGGCGTCTTGGATGCTGCGTGACTTTGAAATAGTCTGCACAAGGTAGTCTGAACCTCTTCGCGGGCATTAAGTTCAGAAACTAATGGGTCTTAGGTCTTAAAGACAGGATTGTGAACTGTACCGAATAATCTTCAAGATGGCTATTTCGGTTCAAAACTCGGTTTAAGTATGGAACACTATTAATCAGTCCCTTTACTTGGTGCACACACGCATCCGTTTTAATGGCTGAGAATTTGCCTTGATGTGACAATTAAAACAGATCATGACATCTGGCTCGCTGGAAAAGGTTAAAAATGTATTGAGCATTCCACTTCTATTGAACATTGAACATTTCTGAGTACCTTTAATAGCCCACTTTGCCAAAAGGCGAGTTTTGCTTCATAAATGATAAACTTGAGGGGCAGCCTGGTGACGTAGTCATGTACCAAAAGCTGGCTTTTCATTCAGTCACTACTACTTTTACATTAAGCAGCTCGTAATCCCGTGTAACAGTTCTGCCACTTCAAAGCAACACGAAGCCTTTGCACATAAACGTTGTATTGTTTTGTTTAAATAAGCCATGTCTAAGACAAACACACGCCATGATCAAATTCGACTAAGAAAAGTAGAGGTGTTTTTTATACCGTCACAACACACGAGTGTAATGCCTGCCACGGTGATGACATAGTGCACTTCCTGACGCCTATGGTTACGAACGGGTCAGGCGGAGAGATGCACTTTACCCACGTGAAGGTCGCAGCCAAATGGGATCGAGTAGTGGTCCCGGGTAATATGGCTGAAAGAATATTAATTTGTAGCGCAGGACGCGGCCCGTGCCTCTCACGAGGACTCATTGTATTATGCGATGCACCCGTTTGTGTATGAATGGGAGTAGGATGTAGTAGTGCGTGTAGCGCTGTCATCAATGGTATCTGAGCTGCTGCTGGATTTCTGACGGCGCAAAGCATAACGCCGAAAACATGCATACGTTCGTGGGGGCTTATCAGTACCAGAAGTTAGTAAAAAGGAATTTACTCAATTTTCAGTCCACGCAATGCGCGCGCTGTTCCGGACGAAATTAAGCATAATGTCATCAATGTTTGGAACAATAAACCAAATTTCGGAGCGCCGTGTGGATGGCCTTTGTTTGCCACAGTTCGGGAATATGATCACATGCGGCGTCGTCGACGCACAGTATGAGCGTCGCGATTCAAGACAGTATGAAAAATCCCTCGCCGCGCTTATACTCACGGCGTTGGACATGTTTGACTACCAGCTGCATCAGCCAGTCATCTATCCCATGTTCGCTCTCGTGTTATGTGAGAGGCGATGGATATCACGACCTACCCGCCGAATGCTTTTCGGAGGCAACACGGGGCCAAGGGAACGCAGGCGCAGCACCAGTGACGTGGTGGCAAATCGTGACACCCTGACTGCGCACGGGCTGTCCGCCAAGGTAGGACGTGTGTTAAAGCCAGTGCCCCACCTTTTGTGTACTTGTTACTTCTTGTCACATCAGATGTGTATGATTTGATCAATAACACCAGTCATCTCGAAATTTCTGTCACAGAATTTCGATCTGAAGTACCCGACCCCGCGAGAGAAACCACATTTGACTCCCTGCTCACCACAATGAAACTAATGCATTTCAGTGCCTTGCTTTCTCCAACGTCGGTGTTCCGTACTGTTAACTACACACTAATGTGCCAAAGTGTTCGTGTAATAAATGCTACGAAAGCGTGAAACTGTTTAGACAAAAGGAAATGCGAACATGAATCTATTATCCCTCGAATTTAACGAAACGCTATACTGTGCCTTTGATTTCTCCCGTATGCTATACGATGGCATTTACCGTAGTGTCTCTTTTCGCGGCGCACTTTGGCTTTGGGAACGGGAGCATCACTTCATCTATGTGGTTCACACCTTCCAAAAGCAGCTTTTCAGGAGAGGCCTCTTGCCCGCTGGGCCAGTCGCAAACTTTTTTATTCGCACCAGTAGAGGTGCGCACGCTTGCTGTCATGACGGTGGTCGCCGCGGCAGAGGAAAGGCATATTGCCGCTACGAAGCGTCGGCAGCGTAATTTTTACTCGAATATTACTAGAATGGATACCCTTATTATGTGTCAATACCCTTGTTATGCATTTGGTATGTATACGGTGCTGCAGTGGCACTACCCATTGTTTTTTTTTCTAGATGTAACTAGTCCTGAGGTTTCACTAGAGTATGTTTTTGAAATATGCCCCGAAGGTGGGACACTGCTTGAAAGGGAACTTGAGGAATTGGAACGCGGCCATGTGTACACTGATGGTGTTGGACATAATCATAATGTCGACTTACAACGGTTCGTAATGTGGATTTTCACTGGCCTGACAAGGGTACCAAATGACCTGCCAATCCTTCAATCACTGCATTGTAAAACACATGATCGTGTTCTGTTGGACAAAGTTATTTGATTTCATGGTATTGTATGCTTCCACTACGCTGTTCTGCTGCATTAGTTACCACACCGTTTTAAAGGGATCAGGAGCCGATTCGGTTCTTGCTTGGTGCCAAAATGGGATCAAACTGGGATAGATGGATAAATGCGCAAAAGATGCTCACTCGCCATGCCCCTTTTTAATGAGACTGATAAGAATGCTCGCTTTGAGCTCGAGAGTTCCACCTTGTCATCCCCAGAACAGGTGGTTTAAGGTGTCAGAGCGCTCGTTTGCAGTGACGGGCGGTGATGTAATCCTTAAATGCCGACAATGAATTACAGAAGCCGGGGGTCGCTCTTCGTACAAGAATCCCAAGCTCCACAACTTGACGAAATTTAAAAAAGTGTTCGACCATTTTGGAAGTTGTTTAGAGTTTGAGACATCCCTCGTGGGCTGATCGTCCGATTGTTCTGTAGATTTTCTGGGGGATAGGGAGCGATTGCCCGATAAATCAGCTCCGTTTCAGATATTGAGGCGTGACTGAGGTTCTAATTGTGCGGAAACGCTGTAGAAGTGACGCAGTCTGTTTTTGGTTCTAGAGGATGAGACGAGTTACATTACCATGCAAACCACGAAGATTACGTGCAGGCTAAATAATTCAAATAAATTATTCGCAGACCGTCTTGCAATGTATCTTATGCAAATATGCAGGTTGATCGCCTGTCCAGTTTCATCAGAGAAAGAAAGCGAGTGAGGCGGAGGCAAAGGCAGAAGCAGAGACAGTGCCAGGGACAGAGAGGTATTTTGAGTACAATCGTGAACTGATATATTTTTGCCACGACCTCGCGCATTACAAACCAGGCTGAAAGCGAAAGCCTTGCCAAACTGCTCGGCATTTCATTTGCAGGCCTGGTTGGTGTCTTTCAGCGTGCTCGTAAACGTGCTGTGCTTGACTGAGTCTTTTCGATCCAAAGACCATTGCAATGTAGGACGTACTGTCAGTCAGCTTAAATGACAAACCTATCTGCGGTGATTGGGTTCAAAGCTTACATATCTCATCACGGCGTAGTCTTAATATTGGATGATGCGATAGAAACACGTTCTTCGGAAGTTTCCAACCTGGCAGCCATAAACCTACCCTGCCCCGCACGCAATTTAATGTTGTTGCATTAGTAGGGACACCCATATGCAGTCAGTTCGTTGATACTCTTTAACTATTCGTATGCTGTTCAGACAGAATTTTAATCATGTGTATAAGCCGCATTTACGATTGATAATTTATACGCAGCAATAGATTTTGTTGTCAGAGAAATTACAGCACATTTTTAGGGGTATCCTTCATTTTTGTACCTGTCATTCTTTGCTAAAACGTGTACGATTCGATCAGTGACAAAAAAATTCTTGAAATCCTTCTAAATAGCTTAAAACTTTCATTTAAAGTAGTTGACCCTGCATGAGAAATCTCAGTTGACTCCTTACCACTACGAAAGCAATGCATGTCATTTGTCTCCCTTTTTCCAGCGTGCGTGTCTTGTTATGCCTGCCGCACACTAAGGTGTTAATATGTCTGTGTGCTGCTACGAAAGCCTGACATACTCAGTTTAAGCAAAAAGATGCGCGAACATTAAGGTATCGTCGCGAGAATCCAACGAACTATCGGATATTGGATATCCCCTACTGTGCTAACTACAGTAGCTCTTTTCGAGGTGCGCTTTGGCTTTGGGAATGGGAGTATGACATGATCCATGTGACGCACTGGTTCAAACTTGAACCAATGTGCTCCTCAGCAGCAGTCCCTTGCCCGCTGACCCCATCACAAACGTTCTTTTGTTTGCACCAGTAGAAATGTGCGCGGTAGTTGACGTGGCCACATTGGTCGTGTCTGCAGAGAAAAATTATATTGCTTTTACAAGGCGTTAACAGCGTCATTTGGACTCGGAAATAATTCGAATTGATATCCTTAGTGTGTCCCGACGGCGCTGCAGTGACACTGCACGGTGCTTTTATTAGACGGAACTAATCCTGATGTTTCACTGTGTATGTTTTGAAATATGCCCCAAAGGTGGGACACTGAGCCCGACACCCACTGAGGCATTTCACTGTTTGCAACCGCTGGGAGGAGGGTAGTCTTCCTGTTCTATGCAGGACAAGTTCAACTGGCAATCAATGGCCGTGGTCAATCCTATTCAGAAATGGTCCGGCTGACAGCTGTCATTGGACTGACTACGTCACATGTTGTGAGATACCGTAAAACCGCCCAAATCTTGGAAAAGCCGAAACAGAACAGAGCTGAACAGAAGGCCCTTCACCTCGCATGATAATGGTCGCCCAGAGCTCCAGATGAATTCAAGCGGAACAGTGGGTTCTCGTGCAATAAACACATAACCTGGCATCAACATAGGTTAAGGGTTAATGGGACAACAGAGCAGGACCTGCTTGGCTAACTCCAGGTCTCATCTGGCATCACCTTTGTGTTCATCCGGTCTCCATGGTATACTGAAACCACTGGTTTGTAAATTATTACATATGGACATAACGAATCGCCTTGGCTTGAAACTTATACGTTAACACAGCATGACACCTGAGGGTGACCTCGTATCACTTCGTACGTGACTGAAGCGTCTGGCAAACAGTGGCATTAATGAATAAATCGCATCAAAGCACCCAAATTTAAGTGGGGAAATGCGTGCGGAGGCGCAAAATTGCAGTTCAAACCTTTTCTGATGTCGTAACCCAACAGCGCGATCAACCCCAAGATACGTCAACTTGATCACATGTTAAGCAGCGATAATTTGGAGATCCCAACCTGTACGGCTCCTAAGTTTTTACCGGAACTCCGAGAAGAAGCCAGTTTTTGGTACCCCAGACCCTCACGACTTAGCAGATTGGTTTATATTATTAAGTATAAATAATAAATGGTCTTCCATTTTTCATGATACGCTGGTTAAAAGAGTTTGTCAAGCAATTATTACGATATATTGAGGCAATGCTCAATATACTGGAAGCCACTTATTGCCAACATAGATTGTCATAATGCCAAAATACGATGAGCTTAATGTCCGTAACCTACAAACCATGGATTTTGCTAGCCCTTGGCGCGCTCGAAACTCAAATAATCGCTTTTAAGCAATAGCTCGTTCTCAACGATATCCGAAATGGACGTTTCTCTGGGCGGCTCTCATGTCCACCCCTGGCTGGCTAGCCGGGCAGTCACGAATGACAACGCCACGGTCTATCGCTGACAGGATCACGAGCGCAGATGATGAATTTAACCCAACTAATGTACTACACGGAGACGAGCGAAGAGACGCTACCTGCTTCCTCGCAGCTTTATTTAACTGCTAAACCAGCGGAAGATGGCATAAAGATCAGTCAGTTGGAATCGAAATTTTCAAAGGACGACGACCTCGGCCAGCCGGTTTCACGCGAGTTTAGTAAACTGCTGTCGCTACTGCTAGAAGTGTCAGATTGGGGTAAAAAAAAATTGACGTTCGTTAGTACAGAATACTGATGATAGTTGAACCATAGTTTTTTTATATGGCATGATCAGCCTGCAATATGAAACGTGACTCACCCAAGATTCCGTCTTCACGCTTTGCCGGGTCAACGCTCACTATATCACTGCGCCACCAGCCGTTAACAACCTACGCGCGTTCACACACCAGCCCGTCACTCATCAAACGCCTGACGTCACCGCTCGGCTCATCAGCTCCCAACTGCACATCGCACGCTCTCGCCGACACCCCAAGTCACCACTTACTGGTGCGCACCTCCCGCCCTGCCCGGCACGCCGAGTCTCCAGCGGCCTTCACCCCGTGGGACACCGGCTCGGGTCCGCGGCGCAACCCGACGAGTCCGGCGCCGACCGGGCGGACTCTGACCGAGCGGCGCGCCCTCGACGCGCCCCCGGCCGGCGCCGACCTCGGCACCGGCGCATCCGGCGCGTCGGTGCCGAAGGCGGGCGGGTCGCGCGGTTTTTTGTATGCCGCGGCAGCACGGTGCCGCCGGACGCTTCGGCTATTTGCTGCGACGCCGGTGACACGGCACCGATCAGAGTGCGTGCCCGCACTGGGGGATGGGACGGCGGCTGGCCAAGCGCCGGGTGTTGTTTTTTCACTCGCAGTCGGCTTATTGCAGATTGCGCGACTCAGTGTCTGCCGGTAAACAGGGCAGGGGAGGGACCGTTATCGCCCATATCCCGGGCAACGTCGAAAGCAGAGCGCTCGAACCACCTGCGCGAACCACTTATGAATTCGGGGTGGTCCGCGCAGGATGCGTCGGTGGCGAGGTCGGCGCAGGCCGGGGGCGCGTCGAAGGTTGCCAAACGTGAGTGACCCTCACTCACGTTTGGCGACCCGGAAGCTTTACGTTGACGCTCCGCACTCCTAAATGCATTGTGTGATCTGGGTCTGGATATGGGTCGCCAGCTAATCCGATCAAGATCGCGTGAGAAATCCGTATGTCAGAACGACAGTTACTTCATCGCATACCAGCCGGATACATAGCACACATAGCTCATTTTTAAGACAATGTCTTCGGATAGTGCTCCTAAAATATTCCTGCAAATACACTGCATGTCATTTTATCATTATGACACATTCAAATATGGTATGGGAGCCGACGCCGTTCAACGCAGATCGCAGAAGCACGCTGTAAGAAACTTGGCTGTTATGGGACAACTCACCTGCCTCCACACAGATATGAGTTGAACAATGTCATTCCCCGATGTCAGATAACTTGTGTTTTGTGGATTTCAAGCTGGAGAGCTTGTCACCCAATGACATCACGTCTTTTTGAGTGCGTGTTGGTCTTGATCCCCAGGAAAACAGTTACACCTGTTCAGCAAGCAAATGTAGAAAGTGGCAACTGCTTATGATGCCGAAATATTCGCGTGCTCCATTTCTTTTATCAGGGACTTCCAAGATTTCGTACCTGCCTTGCACCATTGAGTGTAAAGTAGTGAGTTATGAACTAAGTGGGTCAAGTTCAAAATCGAACATTCCCGGACGAGAGTGCGTCCAACTGCCGCATATCACCGGTCAACTAATGTTGGCTTAGGCCAATGGCTTTAGAGCATCCTCACGCCACATGTGCTCATCCCTGAGGATGTGAAGATATTGTTAGTAATTTATTAATGTGAAAATATTGTTAGTAATTTATTAATGTGAAAATATTGTTAGTAATTTATTAATGTGAAAATATTGTTACTAAGTTAATGTCACTGAATACGTATGCCGCAGCAAGCGCTGGCAATTGTCCTTATTATGTTGGATAGAGAATGTTGAGAAATTGATGACAAGTCTCGGCATTTCCTGATGAACGCCGGATGCTGCCATCTGCATTCAAGATCCGAATAAATGAGCTGATGTATGCTCCTGCGCAGGCTATCTCTGCACCTGGAATGACATCTGCTTCAAGTCATTTAACATATCTGCACGAGGGCATTGCAGCGAGCGATATCCGCTCAACCAATGACCAATACGATGATCACGCCGCACGCCACAAAAGCAAGGGTGAAGTTTGACTTCTTTTTAATGTTTTTAATGTTTAGGTTAGGGGTTAACGCGCTATCTCCGATTATCTACTGTCATGGCATTATTGTATTATATATATATAGATATATATATATATATATATATATATACGCGTGTGCATGCATGCGTGCGTGCGTGCGTGCGTGCGTGCGTGCGTGTGTATGCGTGTATGCGTATGTGTGTTTGTGTGTGTATGTTTATATCTAATGATATACTAAGCTCTATTGATGCCATTAAAATACTGCACCCTAAAAACAAATAAAATCAAATGTGGATATGATCAAAATTAAACAAGGAGCACGCCTGTGCAGGTTTCATGCTATTTCGCAGCATGGTTTCGTACAAACCGGCTTGTGCAGCTGAAATACTACGATTTTCAGAAAAAAACTGTTGAAAACTGTTGCTCAATCGCGAAACTTCACTGAGACTGATCTGCTGTTTTTCTCTCGCGAAAATATATCTTTATTTGTAAACAGTAGGGGTGGTCGCATTTACCCCGGCCCCAGTCAGTCTGCGTCATAAAAAAGACAAATCAGGGCAAGGGTTACACGGGATTAAAATTTCCGTGAAACGGTTTCTTAGGTTAATATCCAGACCGTCGTGCGATTCGTTCTCCGATAACTCATGACTTTTCTTTCGGCGTAAAGTTCTCGTTTAAAGTTTAAATGATTCTAAGATAATACAAATGTTAAAACTTTTAATGGTGTACTCATTAATGTTGCCCAATTGTGCTGTACCATAATTACATTTGTTTTGCACAAACTATAACCCACATGAGAAGGGGGTGCGACTCGATAGTAACTTTATTTCGGCAGAAATTTATTTGATAGTGTTACGATGAAAGGCATCGCGCAATAGAAGATATGTTTGATTGGGGTTGCGATTTCCGATGCCTTGGTTTGGAAAATTGCTTCCTAGAGCACAAACATTCAGCCCGTGGTAATAAAGCGCCAACATTTCAAACTGTGCTGTTACACCCAATCCCTCACGAGGTATACTGCCAGCAGCTTCAAAGACAGACGGGATTAGCAGAGCCACCTTCAAACTACTGCGACACCTATTTGAGACAGTGCGAGAGATTAGGATCTGGACAATTACAGCCCACTACCAAAATATCAAGTACCACCTTTTCGTCCCACTCGCGTACAAACACTGCCAGCTAGCCACGAGGACTGCGTGCTATACTCTCGACTGCACCATTCGACGAATCATCGCCCGCCGACACTGTTGCGTCGGATCGACACCGAAGCGGTCCTCTGAGGTAACGCTTCTCAGCCAAGTGCGTAACCTGACCTTGTTCAGCAGGGAAATAGGCATCCAAGTAGTTGCTTACCTTCCCAACGGCTTGAACTACAGAGCAGGTATTGCTTGACCACAAAGGTATGAGACATGACCGTTGTTACCCGGTGATATCCACGCACCCCGAAAGTATTGAACGCTGCTGCACACCGTCCTACGTAGCCGTGTTCCACCTCTGGGCGGATCAGACTTCAAACGTCCATGCATCGTCTGCGCGGGAAAGATGCTCAGTCGCGGTCACGCTGATGGAGCTAACAACTCCGGCCGAAGGCGCCAGTCTCTTTATGGAGCTATCTACAATACAAATGCCGCTTGCAAAGCAGTAGTGCATTGGAAGTCGCATTGCGACGATCGAAGGAGATATTGTGGTCAAATAAATTGCCGTCTCTAAATACTTTTCGGTATTTTCTTCTGTTTAGTATGGTACACCGAAACTCGGCTGGTAAAAGCAGTAAATCGACCGCCCTGGTGCGCCTCTGAAAATAAATGAATTCGTCGCTGACCTGTTACAACGTCGACCAATGAAGTACGTATCAACCACATTTTTGTCGGCGATTGGGATCGAACCCTCCCCCCCCCCCACCACCCCCCACCCCCACCATCACCACCAAAATACCGTGGTGCCCAAGGGTACGGTAGTGTCGTTGGCAAAAAGGCTTCGTAGTGTTGTGTGCAGATATCTATTCCATTCGATATTTCGGTTAACGATTCATGAATCACACCATTTTTGGTGAGTCATAAGGGAGTACACTTGATCGTATACAAATAAAATGTGAGCCATGAATCGAAACAGCAGCTCTCTTCAAGTGCACACCAGCCTGAGCTGCTGTGAATAAATGATGTGTCAATAAAAACCCCACACGATCAGCATAAAAACAAAGGATGTGAGACGAATGATGCTGAATAGATTCACACACTGAGACGATTATTTAAATCTCAGCTCAATTATTGAACTGGGGTATTAACAGACAACGAATCGGTTCGCAACAGACAAAATCAGCATCCTGATCCCACTGAATTCGTTCAAGGGTCGTGAATCCATGGTGAACCAATCCTAACAAATGAATCGAACACAAGCCTGGTTGTAAGGTGGAGCGCTTTGAAACAGAAGTCAAGGCTTCTAGAGTAAAAGGCTGCGCAGACGTGACGTCGCCATGGGACTAAAGTTTGGTAGCCCGCAGTACGGTTTTTGGTTGTTGCGACGAAAATGTTGGTAGATACTAGTCAAATGATTAAAATGGAGGCTTCGCCAATAAAATGGGTGGCAATCATATTCTCCATCTTTATTTAAATGTGATGTGAATAGATATTGCACATTTCTCACTTAACACCTTCTAAAGACAAATCAGTACTAGGATCTGCTTCCAAAAAACGACACCCTGCAAAACCGCGTTTTCTGGCTCTAAGACCCGCGCCTATTCGTCGTGGTCAACGCGCCTGAATATTTGTATGTAATGCATGTTTGTAAAAAGAATATTTATGTGTCGATCTAACAATATCACATGTAATGTTGATATTAGATTCATGAATGGGCAAAGATTGTCCACATATCTTTGCACTGCAGTACCTATATGGAGGGAAATGTGAAAATGAAATAATGTGAGGAGGGCGGGTGCCAAGAATTTCGCTGTTGCTGTGCTTTAATCTTGTTAGGTGTTGGTTGGCTTGCAGATCCATGATGTCAGATGGGTTAGGTAAAGATGGTGCGCAGAGAATAATACCTCGACCTTAATATATCGCGAAGACCATTTCGGAGCAGAGATATGGGACACAAGCCTTTGACTGACAGAAATTGCAAAACTTGCCAGAAAGCGGCCCATTTTACAGGAAAGTCTGCTATCTTGAACTGAAATGGCGCGCGCTGCATTTCAGCCTCCCGGGGTTCACCACTCACTTCCCCCATGAGAGCAGGCCAACCCTGCATCCAC